CGAGCCGCCTGTGACCAGCACTCCCACGGTGTCCCCCTCCCGGAGGCAGCGGGGGTCCCAGTCGATGGGGCTGAGCTGCTGGGCCACTGGGTCCCACATCTGCCCGTCGTACCTACGGACGGGGCAGCATGCACCACTGGCGCGTGCAGCCTCTCATACCCCTCTTCCCAAAGAGAACAGTGGGGAGGGAGCGCGAAGCGAGGGAGGGCGAATGGTAAGCCTCATCATATGGCGACTACGAAGAGTAATACGAAGAACGCAGCACAGAGGCGCGCCGTGGTTCAAGATTCTCTCAAGTCCTGGGCGGGTAGCGGCCTACACAGGCCAGTACACGAAACTTAAATCTCAAGCGCTTTTTCACAATGGAGGGCGACTGGCAGGCGGGGGTGGAACAGGAGGGAAGGGGGGCGATACTGTAGATTCACACACATTCACACTAACATTCACATTCATATCCACATTCACATCCACATTCACCCACACACACATGCAGACACAACACACAATACACACATGAAACATGGTCACCCCACCTCGGGAGCGGACCAAGAAGGACAGGGGAGGAGGCAGACGGTGGAGCGGGAGAATGAACGAGAGCAGTGGTCGAGACCCGGGACAGGCAAATGTCAAGCTAGACTCCCAAGAGGCCCCCAGGCGGCCCCCAAGCGGCCACAAAGAGGCCCCAAGAGGCACCCGAGACGTCCAAAGAGGCTCTGAAAACCGCGAAGAGGTGACGTCCCAAGAGACCTCCAAGGGGCCCCTAAGGCGCCCCAAGAGGCCCCGAAGAGCCGCTGGGAGGCCCCCAGGAGGCCTCAAGAGGTCTCCGAGAGACCCCGAGGGACATCCCAAGAGGCTCCCAAGAGGCTTCCAAAGAAGCGCCCGGCCCGCGGAAACGCTCGGAAAACTCCAAATCATGCCGCGCTGCCGCGAGAAGGGCAGCTCCCCGGGGCATCGCGCCTGGATGGGCTAGTGGGGATGCGCGAAGCGTTAAGTGCTCCTTTTTGACCCAGTGGCTGGGGTGTTCGAGAGGACGACCCGCCCCCGGTGGGACCGTCCGCATGCGTCCCACACGCCCAATTCGGCATTTTCACACATACACAAACAAACAAACAAACAAACAAACAAACACACACACACACAACAGCGCTTCGTGGCCCCATAGAGAGCCCCACCGAAGGCACTAGTGGGAGGACCGCCCGCACGCGTCCCACACACCCAATGTGGCATTTTCACTAACCCAGTACAGCGCTTCGTGGCCCCATGGGGAGCGCTTCGTGGCCCCATAGGAAGCTCCACCGAAGCCCCCAGTGGGACCGCCCGCATGCGCCCCGAAAACAGAATTTTGCATTTTCGCTCACCCGATACAGCGCTGCGTGGCCCCATAGGGAGCTCCACCGAAGCCCCCAGTTGGACCGCCCGCATGCATCCCACACACCCACCCGGTACAACGTTTCGTGGCCCCATAGGAAGCTCCACCGCGGCCCCCAGTGGGACCGTCCGCAGGCGTCCCGAAAACAGAATTTGGCATTTTCACTCACCCAGTACAGCGATGCGTGGCCCCATTGGGAGCTCCACCGACGGCCCCAGTGCTACCGCCCGCACGCGTCCCCCCCCACTCAGTGCAGCGCTTCGTGGCCTCATAGGGCGATTCACCGAAGGAGTTATTCACAATTGCGGTACCCACAACTGCATATGGTTGGGTCCTTCGCCAGGAAAGTGCTTTCGACGAGAAGCCCCCACTGGCACTCCCCCACTGTCTCTCCCTCGTCGTCGTCGTCGTCGTCGTCGTCGTCGTCGTCGTCGTCGTCGTCGTCGTCGTCGTCGTCGTCTGGCACTCCCCCACTCCGCTGGCACTCCCTCCTCCTCATCCTCGTCGTCGTCTTCCGGGTCGGCGGCACTGGCCGTAAGGCATTCACACTTTCAAGAAAAAACGCCGGCGTGGTTTTTCCCAAGCACCCTGTGGTGTTGGATCCTCGAGTTGACGAGACACCGCCCTGCGTCTCTCACCTCCCGACCGCCTCCCCCTCCTCCATCCTCCCTCGTCTTCCCTCCTCGCCTCTGCCCTCCTCCCCCTCAGCACGCGGTTCCCCCACCCATTACAGCGTTTGGTGGCCCCAGAGGGAGCTCCACTCCGCCGAATGTCCCAGCGCTGCCGCCCGCAGGCGTCCGCCACACCCAGTACAGCGTGCCGTGGCCCCATAGGGAGCCCCACCGAAGGTCCCAGGACTACCGCCCGCATGCGTCTCCTCCACACCCAATACAACACTCCGTGGCCCCATAGTGAAATCCATCGCAGGTCCCAGTGCTACCGCCCGCATGCGTCCGCCACACACACACACTCAGTACAGCGCTGCGTGGTCCAAGAGAAGGCCCCAGTGGCAAAGTTCACGTGCGTTGCCCCCACCCAGTATAGCGCTTCGTGGCCACATAGGGAGCTCGACCGAAGGCCCCAATGGCAAAAATCGCATGCGTCTCCCCCACCCAGTACAGCGCTCCGTAACCCCATAAGGAGCTCCACCGGAAGCCCCAGTGGTAAAATTCGCATCCGTCTCCTCCGCCCAGTACAGCGTTTCGCGGCCTATAGGGAGCTCCACCGAAAACGGTACCCATAACTGCGGAACTCACAACTGCATATGGTTCGGTCCGTCGCCAGGCGAGTTCATGACTCCAACGGGTCTCGCCCTCACCATTGCCGCGTTCTCCACCTCGCCGTCGACGTCGTCGTCGTCGTCGTCGTCATATCATTGTCGTTGTGGTTCGTGTGTGCCGTCTCACTGTTCGAACGCGCCATTTGCGGCGGAGCGTGCCTTCCCTTTTTTCTGCCAACTCTGACGTGCACGGCTTTTCTTTCCTTCTTCTTTTTTCTCTGTCTCTCTCTCTCTCTCTTTCTCTTCAGAGGGTCTCCAGACGGAGTCTGCTTCTTAGAAGGCGCCGGCCCTGCATCTACAGACGAGGCCTGGCCCATTCTAAGAAGCAGGGGTGCTTCTGGGAAGCCTCCCCCCCTCCCCTATCTCCTTGTGCGCGCCGCCTAAGTGCGGGCACATGGGGCTCTCATCTTTCCGGGGGGCGCCGCGCGCAGCGACGCATCATGCGCGTAGTGGCCTTTGGGGGCAGGAGACCTGGGACAAGCGAGAGAGAGAGAGAGAGAGAGCGCTGCCACCTCCGTGACGCATCTTTGATCTGTATTCCCCTTCCTTCTTCTCCTCGTCCTGCTCTTCGTCCTGCTCCTAGTCCTCCCACATGCCCCCCTTGAGCGTGGCCGAGATTCGGCGGCCAGCCTGGGGGGAAATCAGGGGGGCGGGCCATCTCAGAAGGCTCGGAAGTCCGTCTGCCTTCCGCAAGGTTTTCTGAGCCTTCCCCGAAAACACAGAAACCTTCTCAGAAGGCCGGAGGGCTTCTGAGAAACCCCGCCGCCTTCTGAGAAGGCCTCCTCCTTCTCACTTCCCCCCCTGGATGGCCGCCGAGAGATGGCCCCCCCCCCCGGTCGCCCTCCGCTCGGCTACACGTACGAGTGACCCTGGGAAAGAGGGACCTGTGGTGGCCAGCTTTACGTGCGGCGTGAGGGGCCCAGACCCAGGTGCGCAAGCCGCTGCTGTCGCGTACAGTGGGGGCCTGACCACAAGAAACCTTCCACGAGAAACCCAACCCCGAGACCCCAGGACGTCAATTGTTTTGTGGTGTGAGAACGTCACGATTTCCATCGCGAGATAATCGAAACTCAAGAAGCCCAGGGCACCCTGGAGGCAAGGAGGGTGTTTCTTGGCATGGGTCTCCACCATCGACCATGTCTCGGCGATCCGGGGACGCCAGGCGAGGGTTGAGGGGTTCACGGAGGTACAGGTCGCAGGCCGCCGCGCCACACTGAGTCCAGCCCCGTGCTGCTCGATGGCGATCGTCGCGGTGTCAGCGCGGCTCCGCCGAGCGCGAAAGAGGACGCCAGTGGGCCCGCACTCGGGGGCGGCCAAGAGGGGGGCGTCCAGGAGGGGGGGGGGCGCAAATCATGGCCGGCGTCATGTGCGCGGCCCAAGGGCGGGGGGGGGGACTTATTGAAATAAGAAGAGGCGCCATGAAATCTGGGGAGATATCGTGGCCCACGCCATGATATCCCCCCCCCTAATCATCACCCCGCTCTTAGCCGCCCCCGACGCACCAAAGGTCACTCCGGCGAAAGGTCACTCTTACGCGCAGCCGATCCGGTCGCGGGGCACCCCATCGCCCACGTCTCGGGTATGTGCTCCGCCGTGGGCGGGTCCAGGCGCACGCCGGCAGGCGCGGTGGCGGTCACCCCGAGCGTCAGACCGTCGGGCGCCTCGCCGGGGCCGACGACGGGGAGCGACTGCGAGCGACGACGACGACGACGAACGACGTTGACGACGACGAGCGACGACGGCGAACGACGAGGACGAGGACGAGGACGAGGACGAGGACGAGGACGAGGACGAGGACGAGGACGAGGACGAGGACGAGGACGAGGACGAGGACGACGACGACGACGACGACGACGACGACGACGACGACGACGACGACGACGACGACGACGACGGCGGCGGCGGCGGCGGCGGGCGAAGACGAGCGATGGCCGGCTCGGCACGTCGGGCGCCTCGTCCGGGTCGGGGCGCACCTCCGTCACCTCCACCTCGGCCAAGGGGGGAAAGGGGCCAACCCGAGATCATGACCAGGGGGGGGGAGGGAGGGAAGGCGCCCACCGTGAGACCCTGGCGCCCCAAGTGGTTCGAGCTGGGCGCGTTTTCGCCAGGTCTTGGCCCCGGGGCCCTCGCAGATCGATACGGCTCGAGGAATCTGTCGCCGCGCCGTCTGGTTTTGACCCACCCAAATGGACGACGCTGACACCACGGCAAGCCCACTGCAAACCCTGCCCCCCGCGTCCCAAATAGACGAGACCAGCGCCGCGGCAAACTTCACGGCAAACCCACCGCGCCCGAGGCGGCGTTTGCCCTGGTGGCCACGGCGCCCTCCCCAAGACGCACGGGCGCGCGCCGGAACGAACGGCGCGGCGACAGATGGCGCAGGAAGATGGGGCCTCGGGCTGTGATGTTGCACGATGTCTCAATTTCTTCGCGCCGGCGGCTCTCGGGGGAGGAGGGGCCAAGCCCTCCTCGGCCTCGATCCTCGAGCCTTCGCCCCGATCCTCGGTTCTCCGCCATGGCACTCGGCCCTCTGCCCCGATCCTCGAGCCTCCCTCGATCCTCGGCCCCGATCCTCAGTCCTCCGCCATGGTCCTCGATCCTCCGCCCCGATCCTCGCCCTCCGCCTCGGCGAGGGGCGGGGGTGTGCGGGCGGGGTGGAGCGGAGGGGAGGGGGGGGGGAGGGGTGAAAGGGCAAGCTAGGTGCGCTCGCGTCATATCTGACGTCCTACCCCTCCCTCCCATCCCTTACCATGGCGCTGATTTTCTCTATCCGCGGACGCGTGTCGTAGCGGACCTGTGGCTCCGCGCGCGCGTGCGTAGTGGGTGGTGGTGCGCGTGCGTGCGTGCGTGCGTGTGTGCGTGGTTGTGGTGGTGGTGGTGGTGGTGGTGGTGGTGGTGGTGGTGGTGGTGGTGTGTCGTGCTGCTGGTGGTGGTGGTGGTGGTGGTGGTGGTGGTGGTGGTGTGGTGGTGGTTGTGGTGGTGGTGGTGGTGGTGGTGGTGGTGGTGGTGGTGGTGCGGCGCGGTGGTGGCGGGTGGTGGCGGGTGGTGGTGGTGCGGCGCGGTGGTGGCGGGCGGATGGGACGCGCGAGAAAGAGGCCCGCGCTGGGGCGAGAACGCCATCCTGAACGACGGAGGCCAAACACCGATCCGAAAATGAGGCCCACGCTGCAGCGGGAGCACGATTCGGAACGATTCGGGAGCAGAAATGAAGCCGGCGCCTCAGCGAGAGCAGCATTTTGAAAAAAAACGCAGGCGAAAACCCAACTCCTGGGAATCCTGTGTGTAAAAAAAGAGTACGCGGGGGGCCATCGGGGGAAGAGGGAGAGTAGTATTCATATTGAGTAATTGTGGAGGGGCGGAGGGGGAGGAGGGGGGAAAGCGGGGAGGGCGGCGTGAGAAGGGCCGGGTGGGGAGGGAGGCCGATGAGGAGGACAAGCTATGACGGGGACACATGCATAGCAGGAGAAGGATGCGGAGGAGAAGCAGGGGGAGGTAGTAGGAGGAGGAGGAGCAGGCGGAGCAAGCGAAGGATGGAGAGGAGGAGGAGGAGGAGAGGAGGTGGAGAGGAGGAGGAGCAGGAGGAGGAGGAGGAGGAGGAGGAGGAGGAGGAGGAGGAGTGGGGGGAGGGGGAAACCAAAGGGAGATGAGCGAGTAGCATGAACAAGATGACATGTTTTCCAACGGGACCCCACATCGTGTTACTAGCAATCTGCGTTGTGCAAGATATGCGGAGCAATCTGCATGGTGCAATCTATGTGGTACAAAATATGCTGTGCAATCTATGTTGAGCAATCTAGGTTGTGCCACATATGTGGTGTGACCTATGTGGCGTAAGCTATGCGAAGCAATTTCTGTGGTGACTCTGTGGTGCAATCTACGTTGTGCAAATCACATGATAGGGTCTATGTGGTGCAGCCAATCACTTGCTCAACTTGAAACTGTCCGATCCACTGCTCGTGCAAACATCCCTCCCTCCCACCCGCAACTTGGTCGCGAGACCTCTTCAGACCGTAACGGTGGGTACCAACTGGCCCTTGGCAACGACACCGACGCCCACGACGACAGCGACAACGACGACGACGACGACGCCGCCGACGACGACGACGCCTACACCGACGACGCCTATAACGACTTAGACGACGACAACGACGACGACGACAACACCGACGACGACGACGCTGACGACGACGATGACAACGCCGACGACGACGACGACGACGCCAACGCCGACGACGACGGCGACGAAGACGACGACGTCGCCAACGAAGACGACGACGACGAGGGAGGAGGGAGGACGACGACGCCGGCGACGAAATAGGAGGGACAACGACGAAACGCCGACGAAGACGACGAGGGACGAAGGACGACCACGGCGACAACGACGACGGAAACGACGACGACGCCAAGACGACGACGACAACGAGGAAAGACAGAGGACGACGACGGCGACGACAACGACGACGAGGGAGGAGGGAGGACGGCGCCGCCGACGACGACGACGACGACGCAAGAGCGCGCGCGCACGCTTGTGTTGAAAATCCGTTTTGCGAAACCTTGTGTTTTTTTGTATGCTTTTGGGAGACACGATTTCGAAATCCTTCCCAAACCTACGGTTTTGAAGGATTTCGGCATGCGCGCGCGACCACGCGCGCGTCTGCACTTCGTCCCATTTGTTGCAGAGGATTCTCGCGACGGCACGCGCGCAAGGGCGTTCGAAAGATTTCGACACGCGCGCGCGAAGCCCGTTTGGTAGTAGTAGTTTTTTTTTGAAATCTTGAAAAACCTATGGTTGTCTTAAGATTGCGCAAGAGCGCGTGCGTAAGCTTTTTTAGGCAACCAGTGCTGCGAAACTATGTGCTTGTTTTATGTGTTAGGGGAACTCGGTTTTGAAATTCTTCCGAAACCGGAGGTTCTTGAAGGATTTCGGCATGCGCGCGCGACGACGCCCGCGTGTGCACTTCGTCAAATTGTTTGCAAGGGTTTCTTGAACACTTATGGATTTCGACAAACGAGAGCGCGCGCACAATATGCTTTGCAGAAGATGGCGGGGGGAGTGATACCGGCTTGGCTGGGATACTAAGAATTCACAATTAGGCGGGATAGCATGAATTCATATTTAGGAGGGACGATGGGGCAGAATCAGATGTAAATTGCAATACGAAAAGGTGGATCGTTAACTCCGGGTGGGGAATCTATTCTTCTTCTAGAAAGGAGAATGCATGTAGTGCTGACTATGTGCTGCGATCTATGCGGCGTAGCGTATGTGGTGCATTTCACTTTGACTGTCTTGAAGCTGCCATCTCCACTGCTCGTGCAAACATCCCACCCTCCCACCCGCAACTTGGTCGCAAGACCTTTTCAGACCGTGACGTTAGGTACCAAATGGCAATTGGCAACGTCACCGACACCGACAACGACAGCGACGACGACGCCGCCGACAACGACTACGACGACACCGACGACGACTCCTACGACTTCGACGACGACTTCGACGACGACGACGCCGATGACGACGCCGACGACGACAACGACGACGCCGACGACGACGACGCCAACGACTACGACGACGACGAAGACGACGACGACGGCGACGACGACGACGAAGATGACGACGCCGACGACGACGACGACGAAGACGACGCCGACGACGCCGACGAAGACGACGCCGACGACGACGACGACGAAGACGACGACGACGACGTCGCCAACGAAGACGACGACGACGAGGGAGGACGGAGACGACCACGGCGACAACGACGACAACGACGAAGGAGGAGGGAGAACGACGACGACGCGAACGACGAAGACGGAGGGAGGACGGCGACGCCGACGACGACAACGACGAGGGAGGAGGGAAGACAACGACGACGACGACGTCGACCACGGCGACGAAACAGGAGGGACGACGACGAGACGCCGACGACGGACGACGACGACGACGACGAGGGAGGAGGAAGGTCGACCACAGCGACAACGACGACGGAAACGACGACGACGCCAAAGAGGACGACGACGACGACGACGACGCTGACGACAAAGAAAGAACGACGACGGCGACGACGACGACGAGGGAGGAGGGAGGACGGCGCCGACGACGACGACGTAAGGGCGCGCGCGCACGCTTGTGTTGAAAATCCGTTTGCGAAACCTTGTGATTTTGTGTGCTTTTGGGACACACGATTTTGAAATCCTTCCGAAACCAAAGGTTTTTGAAGGATTTCGGCATGCGCGCGCGAACACGCGCGCGTCTGCACTTCGCCCCATTTTTTGCAGAGGGTTCTCGCGATGGCACGCGCGCAAGCGCGTTCGAAAGATTTCGACATGCGCGCGCGAAGCCCGTTTGGTAGTATGTTTTGGAAATAGTGAAAAACTCATGGTTTCTGAAGAATTCGCAAGAGCCCGCGCGTAAGTATTTTTAGGACATCAGTGTTGCGAAACCCTGTGTTTTTGTATCCGAAACCGAGTGTTCTTGAAGGATTTCGGCATGCGCGCGCGACGACGCGCGCGTGTGCACTTCGTCCTATTCGTGGCAAGAGATTCTTGAAAACTTGTGATTTTTGATCAACGAGAGTGCGCGCATAGTATTTTCTGCAGAGGATGGCGAGGGGAAGCGAGATCGGCCTAGCAGGGATAGTATGAATTCATATTTCGGATGGACAATGGGGCATAATCATTTGTAAATAGCAATACGAAGAGGGGGTGCGTTAACTCGGGGGGTAGAGTGTATTCTTCTTCTAGAAAGGAGAATCTTTGCGGCAACAAGCCAGCGACGGGGCGGCGACGGGGAAGCGAGGGCGACAACATGGCCAGCAGACCGCCACACAGGCCCAGACGACGGGCGGCGACGAGGCGGCGACGGGGCGGTGGCGGCGACAACATAGCCGCTGGACCGCCATACAGGCCCAGTTCTTTAGACAAGAGATAAGATACCCATAAGTGTAAGCACGTTTTGGGGCAAATGAAGGTGCTGATTGTCGTGATGGGACATTCCTGAAGGGCGAACAGAACCCAGAAATCCCAAACCTCCATCCAACGCCCTCGGAGGAGAGGAGGAGGAGGAGGAGGAGGAGGAGGAGGACGAGGAGGAGGAGGAGGACGATCAGGACGAGGAGGACGAGGAGGCGGAGGAGGAGGAGGAAGAGGAGGAGGGCCACCTCGAAGTACAGGCCCGCGCGCCCCCGGGCCAGCGGCGCCCTGCTCAGCACCACCCCGTGCATGACGTCACCCCGGTCGTCCCGGTGGCGCACGGAGAGCCCGTCGCCCGAGACCTGCACGTAGTCCTGGGCGTCGGGGGTCAGGGCAGGCGCCTCCGACCGCGCCGCGGGGCTGCGCCCCGACACTTTGTGGGATACGGTTCTGGGGCGTCGGGCGTCGGCTCGCGGCGCGCCCGGGCGCGCCGGATTAATGAGCTGCATGTTCCCCCTCCCCCTCCTTCTCTCCTCCCCCTCTCTCTGCCACAGGGCGTTCCGAGGATGGTCGAAAAGTGCCCAGGAGGCTTCCCGGACATGCTTGTGTTGGCGTCGGGAATCAAATCACGACGGGAGATGTTTGGCCGTTTTCGGTCTCTGGGGGCCTTCGCCAAGCCCTGGGGCCGTCAGCACACGACTAAGCCGGTTCCGGGGAAATGGTCGCGACTTCCGGGGGGCCCGTAATGAACAAATCAAGGCGTCGCGGCGTCGCACGTCTAGCTTCAGACCCTGACGGGTTCCTGATCTTGCCATCGCTCGGACCCCAATTCCCCGTGCATGCTCCCATTTCGCGCGTGCTTTTTGGCAAGATGATCCAGGTTGCTCCTCGATGGTCCCCACAGAGGAAAATCGCACACGTCCGAGCGATGCCAAGCCATCTGATGGTGGCGGCGGTGGCCTCCGTGACCAATCCACGAGTGGCCCCAGACCCTGGGTTCCTGATCCAATGGTTCCCTGCCCACTGCCCTCGCCGTATCTATCTGGGCCGACCGTAACTTACGGCGACGACGACGACGACGACGACGACGACGACGACGACGACGGCGGCGACGACGACGACGACGACGACGACGACGGCGACGGCGGCGGTCGCCGTCGGCCGCCGCCGCCGCCGCCCCCCTGCGAGGCGCCGCCCGCGGACGGGGCGGCGGCGGTGGCGGGTGCGGCAGGCGCCGACCACCGCGCCGTGGGGCGGGGCCGCTCCGTGGCCGGCAGCCCTGCCCCACCCTAAGACGAGGCCAGGACGAGGACAAATTATTCACTGCGTGGAGCTCCCCATATGTGCATCTATTCGCATGGACCTGTCCGCCGTGAATGTCTAGGCGCAAGAGCTTTCGAGCATAAACGGGCTTCAGTTGTGATGGTCTGGACATGAAGCCAACTGCGAATGAATTGGAGTGTGAATGAGCCTCAGTAGTACGAGCGCGTCTCTGCGCATGAGCCTGGGGCCTCCTGGGGCCTCCTGAAACCTACTGGGGCTTCCTGGGGTCTCCAGGAGCCTCTTGGGGCCTCCTGGGACCTCCGAGAGGCCCAATCTATAGCAACAGACGTACATAAAACATTGCGGATTAGAGCCACAGGAGAAGGGCAATCTATATAGGAACACACGTAAAACATCAAGGACTAGTGCCCCAGGAAAGGCCCAAAATATAGGAACATAAATAAAACATGTAGGATTGTCTACACCGGAGAAGGACAATATATAGGAACATACGTATAATATCAAGGAATCGTGCTCCAAGTGAGGCCAAATCGATAGGAGCATACGTAAAACACATGGGATTGGAGCCACGCCTGTTGCCTTCTGAGGCCTCCTGCTCCTGGGGCCTCTCGGGGCCTCCTGTTGCCTTCCGAGGCCTCCTGGCGCTTCCTGTGGCCTCCTGGGGCCTCCTGTGGCTTCCTGAGGCCTTCTGGAGCTTCCTGGGGCCTCCTGGAGCCTCCCGGGGCATCCTGTGGCCTCTTGAGCCTTTCTGTGGCCTCCTGATGCCTCCTGGGACCTCATGTGGTCTCCGGGGGCCTCCTGGAGCCTGTTGGAGCCTCCTGTGGCAACCTGAGAAGAATCTGCGCCCACGAGCCTGGCCACCAAAACATGCAAACCGATCGAGACATCTTCAAAATCTGACCCACCTGGGGGTGAAAATGAGCGCCTCGCCCGAGACATCCTCCAAATCTGCTCCGAAAGCGAAGGATGTTGGAACGGAAAACAAGCAAACCGCTTGAGAGATCCCCACAAAACGGCCGCGAACGGGACCGTGCAACACCCCTCGGCGGCTCCCCTCAGGGACGTGAAAATGAGCGCCTCGCTCGAGAGATCCTCCAAATCTGCTCCGAAAGCGAAGGATGTTGGGACAGAAAACACCATGAAAGAAGGAAATGTGAGTACCCAGCTGGGTACGATCCCTGAGCCCACCTTGGGATACCCCCCCCTCGGCGAGCCCCCGAGTCTCGGGCGCCGCGGCCTTCTCAGAGAGTTCCGGAACGCTCCGAGAGCGTTCTGCAGCGTCCTGGGACGGACTTATCCTCGCCCCAGCCCCGTCCGACCATCTCCAACAGCTAGATCTCCGACAATGCGTTTTCTCGAGCCGGGCGCCGCCTCGGTCTCGGCTATCTCTGGGGCGCCCGTCGTCGGGGCCCCGGGCCGTCGAGAAGGGGTCCGGGGCGAGAATCTGTCCGCCCCCAGTCTCTGAGCATCGAGTGGTCAATTCGAGCAGCATGTGCAGATCAGTCTGGATTCCATGTACGGCAAGATAGCTGCCCACCCAGTTCAGCACAGGCGGGAGGGACGGATTTGCAGCAGCGCTTCCCCACCTCCGCAGCCACCTGCCTCAGAGGCCCCACGGAGGGCCGTGTCAGCAGCACACTGCGCACCGTACACCAGCGTTGAGCCCAGGAATCAGGAGCGGCCAAGAGGGGTGTGTCCAAGAGGGGGGGGTGCAAATCATGACCAGCAGCATGTGCGCGCCCAGCGGGGGGGCCAGGGACGTAACGAAATGAGACGAGGCGCCATGAGACCTGGGGAAATATCATGGCCCACGCCATGATATCCACCCCCCCTAGTCATCACCCCCCTCTTTTCCGCCCCCGAGAGCCTAGGAAACAGGGCCACCCCCCGGGGCAGGGGTCGCAACTCCTGGGGCCGCCCGTGCCCCAGTCACCATCGGCGGACGTCTAGGTTTTACTCGACCCCACCTCCGTCGGTGCGGCCCTCGTGACCTCCAGCTGGGGGGAGGAGGAGGGGGAGGAGCAGCAGGAGGAGGAGGAGGAGGAGGGCAAGGGAGAGGAAGAGGGGGCCAAGGGAGAGGAGGAGGGCAAGCCAGGTGTGCTCGCGCCAGATCTGACATCCTACCCCTCCCGCCCATCCCTTCCCGTTGCGCTGACGTGTTCCCCATTCACGGACGCGTGTCACATCGGACCTGGGACTCAAGAAAAAAGGCCCAGTCGTGTTATGCGCACTCGGCAAACGGGAGCGGCGCACACTGGAGGAGGAGTTGGCGGATGAGCAGGAAGATAAGCCGATGAGCAGGACAAAAAGGGGGATGAGGCAGGAGGTAGACGAGGACGAACAGCAGCAGCAGCTGCAGCTGCAGCAGCAGGAATTTGGGTGGAAGAAGCGGGAGGAGCAGGAGGACCAGGGGAAGGCGAAAAAGGGGAAAGCAGGTGGGCGACACGGATGAGGAAGGACTCGTATCCAGAACAGTTCCCCGCGCTGTGGCGAGAGCACAATTCTGAACGACGGGGGCAAAGCCCAGCCAAATCGTCAGGTGAGGCCCACGCTGCAGCGGGGAACACCACTGTGGAAGGACCGAGAAAGTTCGGATGGGAACACATATGGAAATCCCTCCAGCACTTTAGGGAGCGAGTGGTTTACAATCAGAACTGATAGCAAAGATGCGCAATACAAATGCAAGCCCCCCGGACGCCCACGTCGAAGCTTTTCGAGTGCGGCGGTCCATCGAAAGGGGTTAAGCATGGACCGAGGAGGCAAGGATGCAAGGGTACCATTGGGAAGGTTACCCATCCTCACCATCGGTTTCGACTGCAGGGCGTTTCCTATTCAAACCCCTCTTCTTCCCCTTGGGGGAGGGGCTTGCCCCTCCCCCCAGCACCCTCCCCTGGGTCTGGAGGGGCGCCGTCGCGACCCATTGGAGCGCCCAAGGCGGCCTCGGCGAGAATCAAATCAGTGTGCGTGTGTGTGTGTGTGTGTTGTCTGTGTGTGTGTGTTTGTTATGTTGCGTGTGTTGTTTGTTGTGTGCTGTGTGCTGTGTGCTGTGTGTTGTGTGTTGTGTGTTGTGTGTTGTGCGTGCGTGTGTTGCGTGCGTGCGTGCGTGCGTGCGTGCGTGCGTGCGTGCGTGCGTGCGTGCGTGCGTGCGCGCGCGCGCGTGCGTGCGTGCGTGCGTGCGCGCGCGCGTGTGTGTGTGTGTGTGTGTGTGTGTGTGTGTGTGTGTGTGTGTGTGTGTGTGTGTGTGTGTGTGTGTGTGTGTTTGTGTTTGTGTGCGCGCGCGTGCTCCTAAGGTTTGGGGGCCATGTTGACCTCCTGTGGGGCGACGCTAATCGAGTACCCTCCCTTCTTTGATCGAACTCCACGATGGCCGCAAGAGTGCCCCACGAGGGCCCCAAGAAGCGCCCAGGATGCCCCAAGAGGGCCCAAGAGGTCCCCAAGATGCTCCCAAGAGACCCGAGGCCCCAAGAAGCTACCCCGAGGCACCCAAGACGCTCCAAGTGGCCCATGGGACCGCCAAGAAGCCCCCAAGACGCCTCAAGAGGACTTCAAGAAGCTCTCAAGAGACATCCGAAGAGACTCCGAGAGGCATCCAAGAGGCCTCTGGCCTTACTGCTCACCCTTCTCCTCCTGCTCCTCCTGCTTTTCGTCCTCCTCCTCCTCCTTCTGCTCCTGCTCCTCCTCCTTCTCGTCCGCTTATGCCCCCTCCCTCATCTCTCCTCCCTCCTCCATCTCCCCCTCCCCCTCTTTCTTCTTGCCCTCCTTCTCCGATTCCTCCTCCATCCTCCCCCTCTCGGGGTTCGGCGGCTTCCCCAGCCCTTCAGTCCACTGCATGCTCCTCCACATCCCTGATCGGGCAACTCGCCGGGGCATCGTTTTTCTGGATGGGCTGGTGGGCTTAGGAGCGCGAAGCGTAACACAAAACTTGGATCCATCCGGTGGACAAAAAAAAAAAACACGCGGATGGGGGGTGCGCGACTCTCAGGCCGTCCTCGGGGGAGAGAAGGGGAGCACATAGCATTTACATGTTCTGCATCTATCGGGGGCGGCCAAGAGGGGGGCGTCCAAGAGGAGGGGGCACAAATCATGGCCGGCGGCATGTGCGCGGCTCGGGGGGGGGGGGGGGGGGGGCAGGGACGTAACGAAATAAGAAGAGGCGCCGTGAAACCTGGGGAAATATCATGGCCCCCGCCATAATATCCACCCCCCTAGTCATCACCCCCTTCTTTGCCGCCCCCGACACGACGGACGAACGAAGCCCAGTGTCACGACACGACGTACGAGCGACAGACGACAGACAAACGAAGGGGAGGCGGCGCGGGGGAAAGGGGGGGGGGAGAGGGGAGGAGGGGAACGCGGGGAAAGGGGGGGAAGGAGGGGGAGCACATAGCATTCACATGTTCTGCAACTGCGGAGAGGGAAGGGGGGCCCCACTCAAACATCCGACGGTACGACTTCTGCCAGTCTGCGGCCCCAAATGTCCCGACCCCTCTCCCTGGGGGCAGTTCTCGGCCACACGCCAGAGCGATCCTGGAGATAAGAGCGACCCTTGGTGCGCGGCTTCTTTAAGAGGAAACACAACCATGCACATACACAGATTTTGGCCAGGTCCATCCTGAGCCCAAGATCGGTGCACACGCCCTCCTGCCTTGGCCAGGAAGGCATATGCACCGATCCTGGGGCCAAGGATGGGCCTGGCCAAGACTGGTGCGTGTGCATAGTTCTCTTCGCCCGATTTTTGGGGGCCGCGGGAGGAACCAAACACAGGCGCGCAAGACGCTGCCATTGCATCGCGTTCGGCGATCGGGGGGGGGGCCCGAGGAGCCCGCACCAAAGGTCACTCCGGCGAAGGGTCACTCTTGCGTGTAGCCGAAGTTTTCCGCGCCAAATCCGGTTGTGACGGTCCCAGTGCCCGATGCCGGGCCCGAAGGGCCGCAATCGATGGGGAAAACGCCCAGATTGAAGCCAACACCTCGCCAGAAATCTGGGCCCGCCGAAGGTCCCGTTACCGCTGCTCCCCGGACCTCTCCCGGGGTGCGTTCTGACCAGAGTTGCGAGAAGAATGAGGGGCAACGAGAGGGGGGGCCAGCTCAGGGGGGGGCACACCGAGCTAAACTCGGCGACACGTCGCCGGTAGATCGGCGATGGGCCCCCGATAACAATCCGAAAGGGTTTCCTGGGCAGGGAGGGCTATCGGGCCCATATCGGCGAGGAATGGGCGATTGTGGGTCGATGCGCCCCCCCCCCCCTCAGCCTGGCCCCCCCTGACGTTGCCCCTGAGAGAATCCAGCCGTGGCGACGAGGGCTCTCCAGGAAGAGCGGCGGCATCGGGACCTCAAGCTAAACACACTTGATCTCAACAATGTGTTCTTCGCCGGGCGCTAGATTCAACGATGTACGGTCAGTGAGGCCTTTTCCGCCACTATGGCTTCGTCGGGCTGTACCGAAGCAAGCTGCAGAGGGTATGAGACCAAGAGAGATTTCAGCAGAACGTTGGATTCGACACTGCATGAACCAGTGTGTTCAGGATGTGCTCCCACTGTGATGCACCAGATGAAAAAGGATCAATACGAATGTTAAGAAGGATAACAAGAATACTACGACGAAGATGAAGAAGAAACATACAACCAATAGTAATAACAATGAGGAGAATAATGCCAATTATAAGCAGAAGAAAAAGGAGAAGAAGAAGACGAAGAAGAAAGGTCCCCGCTGCACTGCTGCAGCCCGCGCAGCGGCGGGTCGCCGGCGGCGGGCCCCGGCCCGGGCCGGTGGGGCGGTGCTGGGGGGGCCGGGGCGGGCAGGGGCGGGGGCAGCCGGAGCCATGCGGGCTCGCCTGGTGCACGGAGGGGGGGGGGAGGAGCAGGAAGCACAGGACAGGAGAGCGACGGCGAGGAGCAGGGGGAGGGGGGAGGGAGGAGGCCATGGAGGAGAGGGGGCAGGAGGAGGGATGAGGGAGGAGGGAGGGGGAAGGAGGAGGGAGGAGGGAGGAGGGTGGAGGAGGGTGCAGGATGGAGGAGGGAGGAGGTTGGAGGAGGGGGGGATGATTGAGGAGGAGGCGGAAGGGGCTAGGAGGAGGAGGAGGATGGAGGGGGAGCGGGGGGGAAGCGAGTAAGAGGGGGAGGATAGAGGAGGAGGGTAGAGGGGACAGGAGGAGGATGGAGGGGGGGGAGGAGCAGCAGGGGGGAGGGGTGGACGAGAGGGCAAGGTAGAGGAACAAACAACGGCACAAACATATAGTTACGGAGGGCCGCTCGGATTTCTTGGGCCTGCGCTGGGCCCCCCCTCTCTGCCGCGCGGCGCGCGTACGGAGCGGCGCCTGAGGCGACGCCAAGGGGCCCAACGCAGACCCGAGAAACATGCGCAGACATCTGACAGCACATGCCCATGCCGCTTGATCGTCTTCGAGTCGAAGAAGATCAAGCGGCATGGGCATGTGAGGGCGGGGGGCTTCTGAGAGGGCGGGGGGGCTTCTCAGAAGGCAGGCGGCCTTCTTGGGATGGCCAGGTGGATTCTAAGAAGGCTCCTGGGGACCCTGGAGGGCTCCTACGAGGCCGCCCGCCTTCTGGGAAGCGGCGCGAGGGGGATGGGCCTCTAAGACTTGAGAGGGCGCATGGCTTCTCAGAAGGCAGGCGGCCTTCTTGGGATGGCCTGGAGGATCTGGAGGATTCCGAGAAGGCTCCCGGGGACCCCGGGAGGGCTCCTGAGAGGGCCGCCTGCCTCTGGGGAGGCACGCCCCGCCTCCTCCGCAGGCCGCCCCCCCCCTCGCGCCAGCCCCCCGCGGGCGCCGCCGGATTCGGAGCAGGGCGGGTCTTGCCATCGGCTCGGACGTCCCTTCCCCGTGCACTCTACGATGTCGTGCCTGCTGTTTTCTCGCAAGATGCTCCCAGATGTTCCTCGACGGTCCCCGCCGAGGAACACATACACGTCCGAGCGATGCCAAGGAGTTGAGGCAGTGGCAGTTCAACATCGGTCCTACCGCACCAGTTTCCCGAGCTGCGTCGCCGTTGCGACGAGGGCCCCCCCGAAGGCTAACTGCCGTCGGTCCCCGTCCAACCTAGCATAAACACTTTGCCAACCACATCTGCTCTGCCTGAGCGCTTAGTGCCGAACAATATTCCAATCGCGACCCTTCTTTCTTAGCAACCGTTGCGACTTGCATAGCGCATCGCATGGCCAGAAGGACATGCTTACGCACGCACGCACGAATGCACGTCTACCCTGACCTCTGATATCTGGATTTTTCAATATGGGTCCCCAGATTGGACCGCCACTGGGCGTTTGCTGACAGTCCCGAACCTGACGCGCCCCCGAGACGCCGAAAACGACGAAAAAACGCTGCTCATTTTTTGCCAACCCTCCTTGGTTGGGTATTTGTGTTGGATAGAGCACTGCGGTCTAGTCCTCCTCCTCCTCCTCCTCCTCCTCCTCCTCCTCCTCCTCCTCCTCCCGCCTCCCGTCTCCCGCTCCCCTCTTGTCTCCTCTTGCTTTGTGCAAACCTCGCCATCCCTGGGGGGCTGCGATCTGCGAAACTATCGCCACTTTCGAGGGCTGTTGGGGGGGCCGTCCCTGGGGGGGGCTGCGATCTGCGACACTGTCGTCACTTCCGAGGGCTGCTGGTGGGTCCTGCGGACTGAGGCACCGCGGGGACCTGAGCGAGACCTCGCCCTCCCTGGGGGGCTGCGATCTGCGACGCTGTCCCCACTTTCGGGTGTTGCTGGTGGACCCTGCGGACTGAGGCACCGCGGGGACCTGAGCGAGACCTCGCCGTCCCTGGGAGCTGCGATCTGCGACACGGTCGCCACTTTCGAGGGCTGCTGGTGGGTCCTGCGGACTGAGGCACCGCGGGGACCTGAGCAAGACCTCGCCGTCCCTGGGGGGCTGAGATCTGCTGCACCCTGGGAGGCCGATATTTGCGACATTGTCGCCACTTTCGAAGGCTGTTGGTGGGTCCTGCGGACTGAGGCACCGCGGGGACCTGAGCAAGACCTCGCCGTCCCTGGGGGGCTGCGATCTGCGTCGCTGTCGCCACTGTCGAGGGCTGCTGGTGGGTCCTGCGGAGTGAGGCACCGCGGGGACCTGAGCGAGACCCCACCGTCCCTGGGGGCTGCGATCTGCGACACTGTCGCCACTTTCGAAGGCTGCTGGTGCGTCTTGCGGGCTGAGGCACAGCGGGGACCTGAGCGAGACCTCGCCTTCCCTGAGGTGCTGCGATCTACGACACTGTCGCCACCATCGAGGGCTGCTGTTGGGTCCAACGGAATGAAACACCGCGGGGACCTGAGCGAGACCTCGCCGTCCCTGGGGAGGCTGCGATCTGCGACGCTGTCGCCACTTTTGAAAGCTGCTGGTGCGGACTGAGGCACCGCGGGGACCTGAGCGACACCTCGCCATCCCTGGGGGGCTGCGATCTGCGACGCTGTCGCCACTTTCGAGGGCTGCTGGTGGGTCCTGCGGACTGAAGCACCGCGGGGACCTGAGCGAGACCTCGCCGTACCTGGGGGGCTGCGATCTGCGACGCTGTCGCCACTTTCGAAGGCTGCTGGTGGGTCCTGCGGGCTGAAGCACCGCGGGGACCTGAGCGAGACCTCGCCGTCCCTGGGGGGCTGCGATCTGCGACGCCTTCGGGCGCTGCGATCTGCGACACTGTCGCAAATTCCGAAGGTTGCTGGTGGGTGCTGCGGACTAAGCACCGCTGGGACCTGAGCGAGACCTCGCCGTCCCTGGGGTGTGCGATCTGCGACATTGTCGCCACTTTCGGGGGCTGCTGGTGGGCCCCGCGGACTGAGGCACCGCGGGGACCTGAGCGAGGCCTCGCCTTCCCTGGGGGGCTGCGGTCTGCGATACTGTCGCCACTTTCGAGGGCTGCTGTTGGGTCCAGCGGAGTGGGGCACCGTGGGGACTTGAACGGGACCTCGCCTTCTCTGGGGGGTTGCGATCTGCGACGCTGTCGTCACTTTGGAGGGCTGCTGGTGGGTCCAGCGGAGTGAGGCACCGCGGGGACCTGAGCGAGACCTCACCGTCCCTGGGGGCTGCGATCTGCGACACTGTCGCCACTTTCGAAGGCTGCTGGTGGGTCCTGCGGGCTGAGGCACCGCGGGGACCTGAGCGAGACCTCGCCGTCCCTGGGGGGCTGCGATCTGCGACGCTGTCGCCACTGTCGAGGGCTGTTGTTGGGTACAGCGGAGTGAGGCACCGCCGGGACCTGAGCGAGACCTCGCCTTCCCTGGGGGCTGCGATCTGCGACACTGTCGCCACTTTCGAAGGCTGCTGGTGGGTCCTGCGGACTGAGGCACCGCGGGGACCTGAGCGAGAGCTCGCCGTCCCTGGGGGGCTGCGATCTGCGACGCTGTCGCCACCTTCGCGGGCTGCTGCTGGGTCCAACGGAGTGAGGCACCGCGGGGACCTGAGCGAGACCTCGCCGTCCCTGGGGGGGCTGCGATCTGCGACAGTGTCGCCACTGTCGAGGGCTGCTGTTGGGTCCAGCGGAGTGAAGCACCGTGGGGACCTGAGCGAGACCTCGCCGTCCCTGGGGGGGGGCTGCGTTAACAACCACCACGACGCCCGCATATCTTGATCGGGGGCCTGCGAGCCTTCCGATTGCTGCTCGCGAAACCACATGCGTCCATGTTACGTCTCCGCCCCCTTTGTAGCAATCCTGATGTACTTATGCCCCGCATTGCGCAAGGGTTGGGTACGTCGTCAGGGTAATTTGCGAATGCAGTGCAAGTCTGGGCACATGACACAAAATTAGAGCAAGCACTCCCCAGAGCTCCGGCGCTGCGAAAACATTGCAGCATCGTTGGACAAATGGCGACCAGGGACCCAGACCCCATCTTTCTGCGCCATGTGTCGGATTGGATAGATCTGTGAGGGTCCCAGGGCCCGAAACCAGGCGAAAACGCCTGGCTCGAAAGAATCGAAACGCCAGGATGTCAGGGACGCGCACTCCTGGGCTACACGCAAGAGTGACCCCAGGCGAAGGTGCGCGGCCTGATGAAGGGGGAGCCCCTTGGGAACACCACCAGGCGCGCAATCCGCTGCAGTCGCATCGCATTCAGCGACCGGGGGGCCCCATGAGGCCCGCGTCCGAGGTCCCTCCGGCGACAGGTCACCCTTACGTGTAGCCGAGCTCCCCCACGAGCGAGTCGCTCGCGCTCGCCTTCGCCGGCGCCGCGCGCCTCGCCCCACAGCGCCTTGTGAGCAGAGGCCGACCGTCCCAGATTCCCATAGCCCTACCACGACATGTTCTCACAACACAAGAACGTTCGAAGAAGAGAAACAATGCTCGTAGAACGTGAGCCACGGGATTCAGACAGGACGGCCTCGGCCAGAGGTGTCCCAAGTACCTTCCGTGCAAGCCACAAGCCCAGACATCCGACGTCTCGATCTTTTCAAGACACGGGCCCCCGACCTCCCGACCACTTCCCCGGGACCGGCTTTTCATCCCGAGTCGTTCTTTGACGGTCCCGAGGCCCGTCGAGGGCCCCGAGAGGCCGAACACGACGAAAAACCGCCGCCTCGCTTCGTTCGAGACGCCCGACGTCCGGGAAAGGCTCTTCGAACTCTCGCTGGTGGGCCTACCTGGGCAGGTCTGGACGCTTTGCCGCTGCTCGAGCCTCCGCGGCCGCCGCCGCCGCGGCGGCCGCGCCGCCGTGCAGCGGGCCGCCCGCCGCGGCCGCCGACGCGCACGCCGCCGCGGCGTCTGCGCCTGGCCGCGCCGCCGCCAGCGCGAAGAGCGCCCGCGCCAGCGGCGCCGGCGCCGCCGGCGTGCCGGCGAGGGCCTGCGCCGCCGAC